GTGGCAGAGACTCGGGACAGAGCAGGACATTCTGTAGACTTCTTCCCCTCTTATCTCTTCATCTTAGTAATGGAGTCCTTGCTCGACTCAATACAACCACACAAGAATTGTATTAAAAACTAATTTCTGAGTTTTGAGTCTTCTGTTTTTAAATCCTCATGCATAGTAAAGAGGTGTAAATGATAAAAGTGCTTTCAGGGAAGGAGAATGGAACTTTTATTTAGGATATGCAAAAGCCTAACCATAAGTTTGTTTCCTGCTGTGCTTTTATTTTGTGGAATAAATCCATCCTTTTCTCATTTAGTTTTTACCTTCACATACCATTTATTTATTAGAATTCACTATACTTGAAAGGGAGTCTCTGTCATTATTATAAATTAGGGCTGTCATTGTTAACGCGTTAACGCATGCGATTAATTTTACAATGCTTAATGCGTTCAAATAATTTAACGCAATTAACACAAAATTACTGAAGCACAATTTCTATTCTAACCCTTTAACCCAATTTTGCTTCTCTGCTTGCGATTAGATCATTTTAAGCCGCTAATCTCCGGGAAAGTTTTCAGTCCAATGATCCAGTAAGCGAATGCATTCAAACAATACGTCCAAAACAGCGCTAATATAAAGGAAACCAGGTGAATTATTCATTCTACTGTTTCGCTTTTAAACACGAGCTCTGTCTGTCATATTCTGTGATTGTGTCTGAAGAGCGCGAGCCCTCACATGTCACGCGCTTGTGTGAAGTACAGACTGAACGGATTGTCAACACATCCCACCGCTGTATGGCCAGATGAGATGCAAACTACGTTTTCTTGACTGAATAACCAGTCTCGCTAGTAAAGTTTTGATGGATGAATTTTGGATGATTGGTGGTGGCGTACAGGAGTCGTACAGTACAGTAAGCACGCGTGAGACCGTTATAATAATGCATGTATGAGTGCTCTGACGCACTAATCACACATTGTATTTCCGTGCATTCACGTTGTTTCCACACACATTCACGATAATGTTTTGATTTGTCATGTTTATGTTGCTGTGTTTAGTTATACGGAATGGATCCGTGTACTGTAGGCTAGTAGATATATGCAGCCAGCAGGTGGTTGGTTTAGGGGTTTTTTTGGCATCGCCATGTGGCCCTGTTCGGTATCGCAACTTGGCTTCTCTAAAATGTAAAAAAGCTCTTGGGTGTTAGATGGAAAGACATCTAAATTTATCTTGAAAAAAGCTTGCAGAAAATACAGATTTTTGAGAATCACGCTTCAATCTTTTGGTTTACTTTGCTGGATATAGCAAATGATGACAAAATAAACATTTGAAACAAGATAAATGGTCAATGCTTAATTTCATGAAGTGTGCGATTAATCGCGATTAATCACAGAAAAAGGATGTGATTAATCAGATAAAAAATTTTAATAGATTGACAGCCCTATTATAAACATTACTAACAAGCAAAATATTAGTAACGCACTTTTAAAGGTGCCGTCAGCTATTTTTTTCCTCATTAAAAAGTTGAGAGTAGTGACGAGTAGGTAAAAAAGTAGTACAATGTACATAAGATGACGACTTCAGACACATTAGTAGCTTAATAAAAGCTGTTTTATTTTACAAGGTACTGGTTACATCATGGTGGCTGCCATGTTGAGGTCATGTGACCATCTGAATACTACTCATTTGATATCAGAAACCATCCTGTTATTGGACTCTTTCACTTGGGAAATAAATTAAGCATGTCTGAAAGCTAATAACATTTTCTGTTGCATGATGCTTCATCCACACCAGTAGGTGTCAGTATAAGTCTAAGACAACTTTCACATAAAAAAAAAAACTTAAATTGAAAAGTAATGAGCACATCTTTAACAAGTATATATAAACATACAGCACAAGTATGTCACTTACTTTGCACTCAGAGATACTTATGAAACTGTTTTCTTCACTTTGTAATTTGAAACAACTAGAGTTTTTTATTTTTTTGACCCAACTGTTATGGCAGTCTGAAAAACATATCTTCACACTCAACTCAGGAGAAACAGCACAGTTGGTTTTCTCTTAGATGTTCTTGTGTGCTCTGTTTCCTCTTTTGCATGCTGACTATGTGACACTTGCTAGTTATTATTTGTATGTTCTTTCTCAAGAAAATGTATTCAGTTGTTTATTCAGAAGCCGCTCAGAGAAAAGGACCGGCATAGTGATACAACCCACACTCCTACAGGTAGTTGACCTCTCCTGAGCACACCAAGGTAGAAATGTACGCCTCGATACATGACAGCGCACCCTCTCTGTGCTTTCCGAAGGTCACACTTGAACAAATATTCTTGCTGCTTTTGCTTCTTAATGAGGCATAACTTGAACAGCCTCATATTCCAAGTTACCTTGTACTGCAAAGTTCCCTCCAGTGCGGATTCGGCTCAACATTTTCCACCTCCTAAATTATTCCTTTTTCGATGTTTTCATTAGAGAGTTAGCGATTCGTGAAATAACCCTTTTGAGATTTGCCCACTGTGTTACACATGCGTCTGATTTACATTGTCCTGGAACACTAGTCTTAAATTTGAAGTCATAGTCTTCTGTGAGAGCTTTTCAATTCAGCTATATGAGAAGCATTGCTTGATGCTTTAAGGATCGATACACCAATGATTTAATGTGTAACGCACCAGAATAAGAAGACAAGATAGTCTGTAGTGTCTTGTAGACTTTAGAAACAGTGTAATGTTTGTCATGCGCAGAGAGTTGTCTCAAACTGCATAATTCAGCCTTGCTCTTTGGCTTACCTTGGCATCAAAGAGAGGATAATGTTGCCGTAATGTTGTTGCTATTGCAAGTGTGAATATTGCGCATGCTGGGCTTTCATCCAAACATTTGTGAGAATGTTTGAGAAGAAAAAAAATTTAATAAGTGCCACAGCCATAGAATTGCTCATGTTTTCATGTGCTTGGAAACCATATTTTTACAGCCTTGCCTACTTGCTTATCCTGTTTCTGATATAATTATTGTTCATTTTCATATAATGTGTTAATTATGTAAATGTTCGATACTTGGAGATATCTGCACTGTTACTCCCTTGTGTAGAAATAGTGAAAGGCGTCATGGTCTGTATCAGAGTGGAAACAGTGTTTTCCAAACCACTGAAGGACAAAGCATTATTTGCCAACTAGATTTGCATTTTCAGAAGAAAAAAAAAAACAGCAGTGTTTGCGAGACAGCAAAAGAAACATGTTAAAGTTTAAGAAGCAGTTTTAGGCTGTGGTTTTGCATAGATTATATACTGCATCAAGGAAGTGTTGCAGCTGTCGCATGCTTTGTTTTCTGTCTGTGGCACCTGAGTATCAGCACAACACCATTTTTGCAGTGTGTAGAGATGAAGATGTAAGAAACAAAATAGCAGTCACAATTCAGTATACAAATGAATGCGAGAAGGAAGACCAGTGGCAATTGATAATACAAGAGTAGTGATGAAGTCATTGCTATGGTTTACATTTTGAACTGTGTACAATTTGAATTCAAGTTAGTAAAAATTGTTTCTAAAATTTCCCAAAGTAACCAATAAAGTTTAAAGTCGACATGAAACGGAAGATTGCGATTGTCTTTTCTTCTCTACTGTGACGTATATCCGAGTGAAACGGCATCTGAAATGAGAGGGCGGGACTTGATTTCGTCCTTCGGGAATTGATTGGATCGTTGGAAGTTGGGGCATTGCTAACAAATTGGAGGCAGATCTGAATGCCAGTTTGCAGTTAGTGGTGGGGGATTTCTCTCCACTGGATTCACAGCTGACACCCAAGCATGAATAAATGTTTTATTTATTAAGGATGACGACGACGATCAATGGCACAAAACATGCCTAAACAGCGCGTGCGTGCAAGAGAGAGAGAGAGAGACTGCCTGAATGACTGAGCGTGTCCTCCATCAGGTTAAGTCATATTCATGAAAAAAATTAGTTTGCGAGTAATGTTGTCGCAATATCCTAATATATTTTCAATGTTTAGGGGTAACGTACTCCCTCGTGACTGGTGTCAGTGCTATAAAGTGAAGCATCAGCTTCAGCTTTTCCCCCTGTCCTTTATCCCATCGTTTACTTCTCACGTCACTAGCTCAGCCCTTGTGCCATAGCTCGTGAGCGGAAGAGAAGATGAGTCGTTTTGAGGGGGAGGGGAGGTTAACGTTTTTGATTAAAGATTACGAGGGCACATGAATTTTACAAAAATAATGAAGTGCACGGATAAATGATTTATAATAAACACTACAGTGTTCCATTAAAAAAAAGGATTTTCGATTTTGATTTCATGGTGACTTTAAGGTCGAGTCATTTATCTATAAAGCAACTTTAACATCAACAGAAGTTGTTAGTCATAAGAAATGATGACAGAAATTATAATAATTAGAGTCAATGTCAATTAAACATTTCTAATAAAAATAACAGTGATGAACTAACCAGGAAGAATTTAACTTAAAAAAAAAACTAGATAATGATCAAATCCAAGGAATGAAATTGGGTCTTAATGTTGGATGTAACAAGTGGCAATGGTATTGCAAAAAAGAGTGGAAAAAGTAGATCAGTATTGTGCTGCCTTGCTAGAACTTTAACTAGTCCTATTGACCCTTTCATTGGATTTATTTTATAACAGATTTTGCATTTTCATTTTTCTTCCTTTTTTTCTGTCTACTAAGATTTAGAGCAAACCGGAAGATTAAAACCTAAATTTGATTCATATCCATATGTTGTTGCATGTTAGAGTAATGGTACACAAAAGTTCTGTGGATTTAGCTCGCCATGCTTCGATCTTATTAATGCACAGGAAGGTGTCTATCTAGCCAAGTGAATTGATTCCGTGCACTAATGACACTTGTCCTGAATTTGCCTTTGCAGGACAATTACATCTTCCTCACATCTCTAACCCTTGATTCATAGCAATCAGAGTTCTTCAAGATCATTATCCTTAGTTTGTAAATCATTCCCATTTTGGCTCCTAGATTGACCTGGTTTTTTTTTTGTCTTGCTGCAGAAAACCAGATTCCTCATGGCTTCCCCACCATAGACATGGGCCCTCAGCTGAAAGTAGTGGAACGGACAAGAACAACTACGATGCTCTGTGCCGCTAGTGGGAACCCTGACCCAGAGATCACTTGGTTCAAGGACTTCCTGCCTGTAGACATCAACGGCAATGGGCGAATCAAACAGCTTCGTTCAGGTAAGGATGGCACACTCCCTTAGCCTTACAATCACAGTAGCAGCAACTAATGTACTAAACTTAAATAGTCACAAATATAGACAGTTCTGTTTTCACTTATAGCTTATTTTTCCACAAATGTTTTACTACAGTTTAATGAATATCTATGCAATATTCCCACATAATAAAAACTGAAACTGGAATTATATTTGTTTAATGTCAGGTCTGCCAATTTGTCTTTGTTTACTATGGAAGGAAAAATGTATTGACATGGCCGTAACTTCAAATGAGTCTTAAGCCATGTGCAAATGGTCTGGGTAATTGTAGGCACCCTTACGGGAATGTGAGAATGCCGCGGAAAGGATCAACCTATCTATTTACATTGTAGACCTTCCTAATAGATAGACCGCTCAGGACTGACCTAGGATCAGAGGGATGAACAGGACTTTGCCCAGGCTGAATTAATGGCTCCTGACTGACTCAGAGTTTATCCCTCTCCACTAAATCCACTTCATTTAGAGGGCAAGTCCACAACGGAGCTTATTCTCTAGTTTCTAGCATCAGCGTCTAAGTACACAGCTTACAAATACAGAGTTGAAAGTTTGGACTGCCTTCCTGAATCTCTTCGTCTTGCTTATTTCGAGGAGCTTCTTAAATTTACGTAAAGTCAAATGAACAAAATGTACTGTTCCACCAAAGATCAAAACATTGCTTCCTCAAAGATTTTATCTCTGGACGGCATGAGGTGCAAAGCTTTATGGACCTTTTAGTGGAAAAATGTATTGACATGGCCGTAACTTCAAATGAGTCTTAAGCCATGTGCAAATGGTCTGGGTAATTGTAGGCACCCTTACGGGAATGTGAGAATGCCGCGGAAAGGATCAACCTATCTATTTACATTGTAGACCTTCCTAATAGATAGACCGCTCAGGTCTGACCTAGGATCAGAGGGATGAACAGGACTTTGCCCAGGCTGAATTAATGGCTCCTGACTGACTCAGAGTTTATCCCTCTCCACTAAATCCACTTCATTTAGAGGGCAAGTCCACAACGGAGCTTATTCTCTAGTTTCTAGCATCAGCGTCTAAGTACACAGCTTACAAATACAGAGTTGAAAGTTTGGACTGCCTTCCTGAATCTCTTCGTCTTGCTTATTTCGAGGAGCTTCTTAAATTTACGTAAAGTCAAATGAACAAAATGTACTGTTCCACCAAAGATCAAAACATTGCTTCCTCAAAGATTTTATCTCTGGACGGCATGAGGTGCAAAGCTTTATGGACCTTTTAGGACACTCATGATATAAAATTATGACAATACAGCTAGTCTTATCTGGCTTATCTGCCTGTTTTAGTCTTTAGGAGAATGGTGAATTACATGTTTGCTGTTTTACTTCTTATAGATAAGCATTTTCTGATAGACAATGGTAATGGCGACATAACCTTACCTTGTGATTTGACCGATAGTTTAAGTCAACATGAAATGGGCTCTGTTTACTTTCTTAGGTGCATAATTTATAGCTTTTCATCTGACTTCACATAGTCTGCACTAGCAGTTGATTAGCCAGTGTGTCTAAAAGTGATGCAGTGACTTTACCTGTTGATGATTGGCTCTATTATTTAAAAGGCCGGCCTTTCATTACTAGAGCCGCTATATTGCGAGTGCACTTTCTCCCATTCATAGCATTACGAATTCATAGCATGACAGTGTTTGCCAATAGCCAAAATGCTATTTACATATTGTTTTAGGCTGCTATTGTAGTTAGCAAGAAATTTGCTTTTCTAGAAGCTAATGCTAATGGTTAACGCAAGTAATTAAATAACAAGTAATGAAATATCATTCTAATACGGCCTGCTCAACATTTTTTGAAATATGTCAAATTATGGAAGTAAAACAAGTCAAATGAATTTCATGTTGACTTTAATTCACATGTACATGTACAGAATTGCTGCTAGCTTTTTCTGCTATTCTCACACCAAAAGTGTCGCCTAACTTGCCATGGTCTGTACTTTTCTGAACAATAATAACCTGAATACACATTGTTTCACTGAGCTCTGCAAATGTTCCTTAAAGCATCGAGTTTGGCAGGACTATCTCAGAATCGTAGCACAGAGAACGTCTGCCCTCGGATCTTTTTTCCGAGCTAATTCCATTGCACCAGACAGCCAACATTCAACTAATCCCCGGAGAGAAGTAGTCTAGCTCAACTTGATTCCTTTCTGTTTAATTAAGACTGCTTTCATTTGATTCCCTCCCTTTTGTTTTCTTTATCTCTCTTTGTCTATCTCTCTTGTCTACTAACACTTCTTTTCAATCTTGTTTGCATTCAATTTACTTCACCTAGGGGGTTCACCGATTCGAGGTAAGCCAGCTGAAATGTGTCTCACAAAACGTCTCCTCCATTACCCGTCTCATCACTACCGCTGTCATTTCCTGCTTGTTCAGTATATACACAACCTTTGTCCCAGCATTCAACCTGTCTGTGTTCTGATGTCTATATCTGAGGGAAAGAGTACAGAAATACACTATTGTTCAAAAGTTTAGGGTCAGTAAGATTTTAATATTATTTTTTTAAATAAATTATTCATTTTATTCAGCAAGGATTAATTAAATTGAACTTTCTCTTCTTCAAAAAAAACCTAAAAAACATCACACCGACTCCAAACTTTTGAACAGTAGTGTATGTATTACTAAAAAATATACAGTATGCATTATTTTTGAGCGTGTTCACTTAACAAGGAAATGTAGGAATAATTATTGACAATTCTGTGATCATTTACACACCCTTATGTTGTTCCAAACCTGTGGGACACAAAATGAGATATTTTGAAGAATGTCTTGGTTGCTGTTTTACAAGCAGTAAAAAATTATGTTCTGGATATTCTTCAAAATATCTTCTTTTGTGTCCCACAGAAGAACAAATCTGGAATTACACGAGGATGAGTAAATAATGACAGAATTTTCATTTCTAGAGTGAACTCTTTGGTGAGGTGAATAATAAAATTGACTCTTGCTAGTTATTATGACATGCATTTGTTGTGGATATTTTCTTAGACCCAAGGCTTATTAAAGTTTGCTATGAGTTTGGGTTTCAGGCTGAAGGCTGTCTTTAGAGTCTCCAGAGTGTGTCTTTTACATTCCATTTGGGCTGTGATGAAATTGCATTTTTTTGCATACTGCTTATGCTAAAATGAGTATGTATGGGAAATGAGGGCATGGCCCTGATTGTTAAGATGGAGCGTTCGATCAGTCACACAGAATGAAACATGGATTTCAGAAACACGATTGCTAGAGGCGAGTGCTTGACAAAACCGACATTACCCTACTTCAGTTGCACGGTTAGCAATCTCAGTGGTCTGAAGACCCCTGAAGCTTTACTGTAAAACGAAGTCGAAAAAGCAAAAAAAAAAAAAGAAGGCGAAAAGTATTGCACGTAACAAAGGCTTGTTTGTTACTGCAGACTGTTGGAGCACGCCAGCTCAACTTAAGTTTATGAATCAGGATGTACATCTGGCTTGCTTGGGGGTGGGGGTGGAGGGGGAAGCTGGCACTGCCTTATGTTCCCAAGTGGTAACTGATTTTTACTGGCTGAATTCTTAGTGTCCGTGGGTGTGATGTTAAATTCCTCTCGTTCTCAACAGCAGGTCTTTGTTCAGTTCATCTCCCCTAACTCATATTGTTTTGTATCTCTTTATCAGTGAGGAATATGTATCATCTTCATAAAAAATGTTTGTCCTCATCAAGACACACAGTTTGTCCCACAGTGTGTGTGTGTGTGTTTTATTGAAAACTCATGAGGTGACATAATTCATCTCTGGTTGGAAGTGTTAAAGGGATAGATCAAAATACTGTCATCATTTAATCAACCTCATGTCGTTTTAAACGTGTATGACTTTCTTTTGTCTACAGAGCTCAAAATAAGATATTTTGAAGACAGTTTCAACTCTCCATTCAATGGAAGTAAGTCTGGTCCAAAACAATATTTATTGAATGGACAAAAACAAATCTCTTCGTTTGTGTTTTTCAGAAGAAAGAAAGTCATACAGGTTTGGAACTAAATGAGGGTTAGTCAATGATGACAGAATTTTCATTTTGGGGTGAACTATATCTTTAATTTATGCTGTCATATCAAACACTTAAAAATACACTTATGATTAAAAAGGATTATACATTTTTGTCTGTAACTGTCAAAAATGTTAAACCCTTGCTTTAAAAGAAGTAAATAATGAACAATTAATTCAAATTTAAATTCAATTAAAAATGTGAATAAAATTGGTGATTTTCACATTCTTCATTTAGTTTAGATGGAATTTTGTATTATTTTTCTTTATTGTAGTACGTTTACTTTTTTATATGGTACTATCAGTCAGATGTTGTCAGGACTGAGGGGTGTTGGCAATCAGTGCTGAGCAATCTCCGAACTGATTAGTAATTTGCTGCTTGTCAGGGTAGGAAACACCACCAATCAGTTTTCCTTGAACTTGGAGATTGGACAAGGTTAGTGGTGCATGTTATTTTTTCCCTGCAGCACTGGGATGCTGGGAAGTAGTCAGGGGTAAAGTGAAGGTGATAACCTATACTATGGTGGTACACCACTGCCAGAGGTAAATATGTCTGTTTGCTAGATTAAGAGCCTGGCACAGTGTTTTTAAAGCAAACGCCATATCTGTGGTTAGGACACCCCAATTGATTATTCATTTGATGTTCATGACTGTTTCAAAGTGGGTAGGTCTAAAGCAGGGGTGCCCAACCCTGCTCCTGGCGATCGACTGTCCTGCAAAGTTTAGCTCCAACTCTAATCAAAGACACCTGCCTTTAATGTTTAAGTGATCCTGAAGACCCTAATTAGTTGCTTCAAGTGTGTTTGATTAGGGTTGGAGCTGAACTTTGCAGGACAGTCGATCGCCAGGAGCAGGGTTGGGCACCCCTGGTCTAAAGTATCTGCAGCATTTAATGCGGTTTCACATTATAGTGATTTGACTCCTTTTGTATACTGAAGTGATATCTTCAATTAATAAATACATAACCGGTTAAAAATGTGGACTAATTAAATTTTTTTATGTTTTTGAAAGATGTCTTATATGCTCTCCAAGGCTGCATTTATTTGATTCAAAATACAATAAAAACAGTAATATTGTGAAATGTTACTACAATTTAAAATAACTATTTCTGTTTTCATATATTTTAAAATGTGGGGTCTTTAGTGTCACATGATCGTTTAGAAATTATTTTAATATGCTTTGTAAATATATTTTGTGTTAATTATTATTATCAGTTATTATTTATGCTCAATTATTAATAATGGTTCTTATTATCATCAATGTTGAAAACAGTTATTTTGTGATATTTTTTTTTTCAGGATTCTTTAAATTAAAAGTTCATTGTAAATGTCTTTACTGTCACTTTTGATCAATTGAATGTGTTCTTACTGAATCATATTATTATCATTATTGTTATTATTATTATTTTAAATCATTCTTCCCCCAAACTTGAATGGTAGTGAATCACAAAACATTGAAATGGTTCTAAATAAGATATTTTGAAGAATGTCTTGGTTGCTGTTTTACAAAATTGTTAAATGGTTCTAGGTTTACACTATTGATAAATGTTTCTTGAGCAGCAAATCAGCATATTAGAATGATTTCTGAAGGGTCATGTGACACTGCTTAGCAATCACAAGAATGCATTTCATTTTTAAATATTTGAAAAAGGTACTTAAATTCTAATATTTCACAATAGGACTGTTTATGTTAAAACTGTTACTGTTTATTACTGTATGTGTTAAAAGACTAATCGAACATTGTTCTCATGTGACCTTACGAAGCACAATTGTTTTTATCTCTAGCGACCAGACAGGCAGCGTAGTTTTGTACGGTATTGATGTTTTGTTCTTTTTTGTGGATATAAATATGCCACAGCAGTAATAAAGTCATGTGCTGTAGCGTAATTGGCTCTGACTCAATGACATTAATATCCCGAAAGCTTTTTCTAATGACAGTGAAAGGCAAATATGTTGAGTTATAGACTCGCTCAACCTGCAAAATCAGCTTTATGCATATGTCTTAGGCAGCATTCTAAGCCAATAAACTATATACACAGAGGAACAGGTCTGACATTTAAACAGAGAGTGTTTACTGATTGTCTGCTGTGAAAGTTTGCTCTTTGGTGTGGAAAGTTGCAACAGGGGATTCATAATCGTGTTCATAAATCAAAGAGGTGACTTTTACTCTTGTTTTTTGTTTTTTTTTCGTCAGGAGCTCTGCAGATTGAAAACAGCCAGGAATCAGACCAGGGCAAGTACGAATGTGTGGCTATGAACAGCGCCGGGACGCGCTACTCGGCCCCCGCAAATCTCTACGTGCGAGGTAAGAGCCGTGCTCCAGGTGCCGCCCCTAGCAAAACAACTTCCTCAACAATGCTTCACACCTTTATTTTGACCATGTTGCAATTTTGTTTTGACTTCCACACGTGTTGAACTTTGTCTGACATTTCGGAGCCAAGATAAACAAAAGTTGTTGTCCAAATCATGCTGGAAACAAAACATTCCCTGCTTTGTTTTGAATTCATAGCAACGGAAGCAAAGGTAAACATGCATATTTCTCGCAGTATTTGTTGTGAGAGTGAGAAGACAAAAAGGGTTAACCAAAGGTGAGTGCCACAGAGGACACCTGCAATATTAATACTTGAATTTAGATGTATAATGGTGTTGAGGCATTGTCTGTGAAACAGAACTCTGGGAGTGCTGTTGTTATGAGTGTCAACCCCTTCAGCTCATGCAGGTAATAACAGGGAGCTTATGGCAGGCTGCCAGTATATGACCTCCAGCTAGTGACGTTAAGGTGCCACCCAGTAATTGTCACGCAAGAGGTGAGGACTAAGCCTTCTCATGCTTCCTGTCAAACAAACGGCCAAAAATGTTTCATACAATAGGATTAAACTGCAGACGCCATTGTACAACTCAATCACAAGATGTTGCTATGAGTGGCATCTAAACACATTGCAAGTTAATAAATAAAAATGAAGCTTGTTTTTAGGAGCATTATGCTTTGCATCTTGACGTTATTTTATGAAAATTAAACACATTTTCCCCTAAGTTTCCCCTAATGCATCCTGATGTTTTTTTAATGTCATTATTCTCATTGATTCGATTCTCATGTCATGTAGTCATTTTTACTTTATTTAAATCTTAAAGTCAAATCTTAAATTAAAAGCCATAAAAATACCATGTGATTTATAAATATTTTGCAAATTATTATTTGGTATTTGATATTTTAAATTATTTATTAAATATTACCATATTTATAAATATTTTGTTGTTTAGATTACATATTGTTTTTTTATTATTATTTATTAAATTCTGCCTGATTCATAATACTTTGTAGTTTAAATGATAAATGTTTTCTTGCCGTTTTTGTTTTGCCCATTATTTATAGTACATTACAGTTTGATTTGTGCCTAATTGTCATGGAATTTATGTCACAATTCAAATCCTAATATTCTTAAAAATAAGCTTTTCTTTTTATAAAATATTATTTTCTTGCTATTCTCTTTTCATTTTCTGGTAAAATATGATCTGGACATGTTCTTAACAGGCTTGTTGTCTATGGAATTCAATGAATATTTAAATGTTTAAATTTTTTTTTAAATCAGTCTGTATGACCATACTTTTCACTACAAAAAAAACGAACGTGTGCAGCCAAAATAACAATAATAAAAACAGGAACTTTTGGAGCTAGATCAACAGCTAACTTCCTCAGAGTTGACAGGTGCATAATGGGTCGCCTTTATCCATCTGTCTATCACAGCCTGGGTGTGACCGCTTGTTTTTCTAAGTGTCTCTGTAAAACGGCTAATCATGCTTTCTCTTCAAGGGCGTTCAGCACAGCGTCCTGGTACCATTCCTCAGCCTCCCGTCCCTGCTCATTTATCTGCTCACACTAGATGAGTTGGGTGTCTAAGACTGCCGGCCTGTCAGTGGATCTATGTATTCAGTAGCTGCTTCCTTTTTCCTTGACCTCATCACTTTTCTGGGAGCTGTCTAAATGCTCTATGACTGTCTCTGTCTCTCTGTCTCTCGTTCTCCCGCTCTGTCCGTCTGTCTGACAGAGGACTATATCACCTGGGAGAATCACAGTCATGTATACCGGCTGTATATGTGAATGCTCATTTGTTATTCCATAGTGAAAAGTTGTCAAACACTGTCTGCTCTCCTTCCTCTGCTCCTGAAACTGACAACAAATCAAATAGAGTGGGCACACACGTCATACCCACCTGTCTGTTTATTATATCTTGTGTGAATGTGTGTGTGGGGGTCCGTTTAGCTTTGTTTAATATTTAAGGAAGATGATTTTTAATATCTCTAATGCCTGTCACTCAGCTAGTTTTGTATTGTAGCGTTACATTGGCAGTCCTAGCAAGCCCTAGCTGACATCATCATCTTTCATGTGTCAATGTGTGGAAGAATTTGGCCCAGGGCTCTTTTAGAGGACCTCAGTGGTCTCTCTGCCTCACTGGAGATATGGTTATGTATGCTCACATGCATACAGAGACAGCTATCAGAAAATGTTAAATCTTTCTGAGTTGTGTGTATAGCAGTAATGTTACTCCTCCAACATATGTTAGGAAAATTCTAATAATATGTCAGTTGTGCTGTGCTGTTCCGATTGTTGGACTTTTTTTGTGGATGTCTGTTAAAACAAAAAATAAAAGTTAATTTTGACTATTACTTAAAAGCTCACATCTGAGACTGCGTTTCTAACTATTGCAACTTTATTTCTCGTAAATTGTGACTTTAAGTCTCACAAAATGGACTTTATGTCTCAGTGACTTTATTTCTCATTATGTTGCTTAATTTCTTATTTTAAGAATTTATTTTTTTACAATTAATGCTTTTATTTTTTTACTGTGAGGTATAAACGGGCTCACATACAGTATTTGTGCCACAAAAGTCTGGTGTTAATAAGAGTCTCTGAAAAAAATCATGAGAGGGACAACCACTTTCTGTAACCTAGCTGACTTCCTTAAATTAAGATCTGTCATTAACCTGTATTAATGTGATTGTGTTTCCTATAAAATATTTTCTTTCACATTTATCTTATGATAGGCTTGTATTTACCTTTAGCGTTGTAAACCTACAATATCTATGAGCTATATGGTACAGTATATATACAAATCTTTTTCAAATGGAGTGTCGTGATTTGAGTGTCTCTTGGTCTTTGTTCGAGTTTCCATTGCATTTTTCTAACCGCCGTGAAACTATTCACAAATGTGTTTTCATGTTCTTTTGTCTCCCATTTGTCTCTGTCTTTCAACTTCATCTCCATATCACTTGGTCCAACTTGCACCTCATGTCTTAGACCCTCGTGGAGGTTGGTTCTTTTCACTCTTAACTGCTTCTTGCAGTCCTCAACCTGGATCCCTCTTTAATCAGAGACGCTTGTTATCTATCAATCACTCCCTCTGCTATGTCGCCCCTCACTTATGTGTTCAGGCTTAATGTGTCGTGTCAGGTGGTTTGCATGAGCTTGATAGTCCATGACGTAGGGGCTGTTTTCATAGATTAAACCTGGTGCTGGATTAAAACGGATAGCAATGTTATTTAATCCAAACTAGTTTTAATCTGTGTAAAACATCAAAACAACATATAAATAATAATTTATAATAATAGTTTTATTATTTTAATTATTTCATTTAATTGTTTTTTTGTTTAATCTCACAATGCATGTATGCTAGCAACTCCTATAACCTAACTGACTCCCTTACATTAATACCATTAACCTGTATCAATGTGAGTGTGTTCTCTACAGACATTGAATAATAAATTGCATACAGGTGCATCTCAATAAATTAGAATGTCGTGGAAAAGTTCATTTATTTCAGTAATTCACACGGTCATTTGGTATGTTGGTGTGCTTGACTGGCCAGCAAACTCACCAGACCTGAACCCCATAGAGAATCTATGGGGTATTGTCAAGAGGAAAATGAGAAACAAGAGACCAAAAAATGCAGATGAGCTGAAGGCCACTGTCAAAGAAACCTGGGCTTCCATACCACCTCAGCAGTGCCACAAACTGATCACCTCCATGCCACGCCAAATTGAGGCAGTAATTAAAGCAAAAGGAGCCCCTACCAAGTATTGAGTACATGTACAGTAAATGAACATACTTTCCAGAAGGCCAACAATTCACTAAAAATGTTTTTTTTTATTGGTCTTATGAAGTATTCTAATTTGTTGAGATAGTGAATTGGTGGGTTTTTGTTAAATGTGAGCCAAAATCATCACAATTAAAAGAACCAAAGACTTAAACTACTTCAGTCTGTGTGCATTGAATTTATTTAATACAACAGTTTCACAACTTTTCCACGACATTCTAATTTATTGAGATGCACCTGTACATTTATTTTACGTTTATCTTATAATAGGCATGTATTTACCTTTAACATAGTAAACCTACAGTATATATCAGGGGTGTCAAACGCAATTCCTGGAGGGCCGGAGCCCTGCAGAGTTTTATTCCAAACCTGCTCCAACACACATACCATGTAGTTTTCATATAAGCCAGAAGGACTTGATAAGTTGGATCAGGTGTGTTTTATTAGGGTTGAATCTGAGCTCTGCAGGTCTCTGGCCCTCCAGGAATTGAGTTTGACACCCCTGGTATATGATGTATGGTAGAATATACACAAATCTTTTTTTAAATGGAGTGTTGCGATTTGATTGTGTCTCTGTCTTTGTTATAGACTCCATTGTATTTTTCTAACTGCTATGAAATTATTCATAAATGTCTTTCATGTTCTCTTGTCTCCCATTTGTCTGTCTTTCAATTTCATCTCCATCATATAACCTGCTTGAACTCTCACCTCATATAGCAATCCCTCGAGGAGGTTGGTTCTTTTCACTCTTAGCCACGTCTTGCATACCTCAAACTGGATCCCTTTTTAATAGAGACCCTTGTTATCAATCTTACTCCCTCTACTATAGGAATGTTAGAAATGTTATTTAGTCCAAACTAGTTGTAATCTGTTTAAAACATCTCGCTTAAATTTCACAAACAATGATTTATAATAATATTTGTTAATGATAATATCTGTTTAATTTAATTTAATTTAAAGTGTCACATTATCCTACAGAAATCATTCTAATATGCTGATTTGGTGCTCAAGAAACATTTCTTATTATTGTCAGTGTTACAAATTCAGGTTATGCTGCTTAATTTTTTTGGATTCTTTGATGAACAAAAAGTGTGAAGAACAGCATTTATTTGAAATGGAAATCTTTTGTAACATTATAAATGTATTTTTTGTCACAATAAACATGCAGTGACAGGTGATCATGATTAGATTGTGTCTCTCTGTCTTTATTAGACATTCCATTGCATTTTTCTAACTGCCATAAACTATTTACAAATGTGTTTTCATGTTCTCTTGTCTCCCATTTGTCTCTGTCTTTCAATTTCATCTCCATATCACTTGGTCAAACTCACACTTCATGTCTTAGACCCTCGAGAAGGTTGGTCCTTTTCACTCTTAACTGCTTCTTGCAGAGCTCAAACTGGATCCCTCTTTAATCAGAGACCCTTGTTATCAATCACTCCCTCTGCTATGTTGCCCCTCACCTATGTGTTCAGGCTTAATGTGTCGTGTCAGGTGACTTGCATGAGCTTGATAGTCCATGAAGTGCGGGCTGCTCTAAAACTAAAAGAAATAGCAATGTGATTTGGTCCAAACAAGTTTTAATTTGTTTAAATAATTTCATTTTATTTCATTTAATACCTCTTTTTTGTCAGGTTCAAGTGTCCATTTTATTCCACAATGCATGTATGGTTTTGCTCATGAATAGAAACTCTTTCAACCAATCTGCTCCCTGTTACCTGAAGTTTTATTATAGAAATATCACCATTTTACTTATGTTGTATTACCCACACTGACTTTCTATTCTTTTACTACAAATCATCGCCACCGTATGCCCATGTCCATAGTCACGGTTTGTCAGTGTGACAGAGTTCCCTGGAAATCAATAAAGTGAATATTTGTATTTCTTAGACATGCTATTGCTACTGTAATTTCTTTGCAACAGCGGACTTGAAGTACTTCAAATTTCACATTGCCTAATTCAAAGAAAAAATGCTCAAGACTTTATCGTTTTGCCTTTACAGTGCAAACATAATGAGGAGAATAACAAGCTTGGTCGCGGTGTATATCTGAAAATAAAATGAGAGAGCATAGTCGAGAATCCAATTTCAGGATGACCTGTGCAAAAAAACAATTATTGCCTATGCCATTTCTCCATAGACAGACATGAGGCAGTGGGTCATTAACACAAATTGGAAGAGTCTGTTTAATGTGCTGCTGTTTTATACTCCTATTTTGGTAGAACAGGGGAGAAAAGTCTCTCCAGCTTGTGCTTCTTGTAAATAGTTCAGCATTAGCATCCTCAGTGATGGCCACCAGCTACGATTCTGAGCACTGCACAATAGAGACTGAAACACATCCTAGTATTTGCATTGATAACAGAGTACCGTTTAAAAACGTTGATGTTTCTCTTGTGCTGATGCTTGTGAATTAGTTCCTCGTACACCATGAGCTTGGCCTCGTGCAGTCGAGTCAGTTAATGTCAAGGCAAGTTTGAATTCCATTCAGACTCCACATTGATAGTTCGCCTCTCTCCTCCCCATCTCTGCACAGTGTCAGCGGGCTCCTTTTGGTCTCCTTGGGAACCTCTTTTAATGTCAGGTTTATCTGCATATCAGAGGCTCACAAAGAGAAGGGCCCAGTGAACAATGCATCTCCCACAAGGTCTCGGACAGGTTCCCGAATCCAGGCAGGACTGAGCAACAACAGACCAGGGTCTCAGTGCCACCGGGCGATAAACTTACAGAGAAAACTCACATCCTGCAATGCCTCAGCGAGGATGTTTTTTTTCTTCTTCTCAAATCCACAATTCAATAAAGCTCCCCTTTGGCATGAATTTTAATGTCTCGCTCTATAAGAAATACCATTACGATGCCTTCTTCACCCTTCCCCCAGCACATATTGGTTTATCGCCCTCTTCTGCACATATGTATGAGCCACAGTTTTGACTTCCTGCCTCCAGTTGTTAAGCTTCAGGCTTTACCAAATGGAAAAAGTGACAGCTCTGCCCTTGAAACAAATTAGTTTGACCTGTCAGCACAACTTCATGTTAGTTTGTTCATGTTAGTGACATAGCCCTGGTAATCAAACTAGAGATGTAGTAATAACAATAGATTTCCCTGTATATGGTCTTTTCCAAACTGTTTTTGTATCAAAAGTTGACATAAGACTACAAAATACTACCTGTTGAAACTCACCCTGGATGTTCTTCTCTCTGGTAGTACGGCGAGTGCCGCCCCGTTTCTCTATTCCACCTACCAATCACGAGGTGATGCCAGGGGGCAGTGTCAACCTCACCTGTGTGGCGGTAGGTGCCCCCATGCCCTATGTCAAATGGATGGCTGGTGAGGTGGAGCTCACCAAGGACGAGGAGATGCCCGTGGGACGCAATGTCCTGGAGCTCACCAACATCCGTCAGTCGACCAACTACACCTGTGTAGCTATTTCATCTCTCGGTATGATCGAGGCAACTGCACAAGTTTCTGTCAAAGGTAAGATCCCTGAAAGAGTGATCTCTCCACTAAAAAATGATTTTGCCTAAAATAATAATTTACATTAAAGGCCCAGGTATACTTGGTGCATTGAGCACGCAAACCATTAAAAGTACACTCAATTGATGTGACTGATGCGTTCAGCATGTGTACTTCCTGCAGTAGTAGATCTTTGTTTTTGATCTTTAGTTGATCTTTGTTTTGAGCCGGAGCAGAATGTGTACAAGGGAAGTGTACTTTAGGTTTTAGACCAGGTATGTGTATTAAGAACATAAATTGGTTCAGTTCTGTAGATTTTCTGTAGGTTTAAAGATTCTGTAGACACTCTTATTTTACCCAAGACTCTGAACAGGTTGTCAGAGACTAGAAAGAGTTCTGTTCTAACTGCAACCCTAAGGGTCTGACCAGCTGTTTAGTACGTCTGGCAAATACACACAATGAAAAAACATGGACACTCGCTCTGTGTTGACTGAGCTTTAGGGACTTCCCAGGTTTTACTGTGGGATCTGAGAAAATGAAAGGCTTTAGATTATTCTGAGCATGTGTTTACCCAGACCAGATGTCTGGAGCTGTATCAGTACAGCTGGTCCCACCAGACAACACCGAGTCCTGCCAGACTTCGTTCCTCGTCATCATGGCTGCCTCTATTGATTGCACTTTGCACTTCACCAATCAATATGGACTCGGAGAATGTCACCGACATTTGTCTGAAGTCCAGCCACAAATCTTAAAGACACAATGACGAGGCGGCACGGGCAGCCTTTCTGTGAATCACCAATTCTAACACAAGCCTTTCTTCTTTCTCATTCTGTCTTACATTGCCTGTCTTTCTCTATTTTAGGAGTGCACCGTGTAGGCAGCTTAGCCTACATACGCTGTCATCTGTTTAATTTCCTTTCTTATCGTTCGCTCCTCAGCTCTCCCAAAGCCTCCTACGTCTCTAATTGTGACGGAAACCACAGCTACCAGTGTTACACTGACATGGGATTCTGGAAACCCTGAACCTGTGTCTTACTACATTATCCAGTACCGGGCCAAGACCTCGGACTCCAACTTCCAGGAAGTGGATGGTGTTGCCACCACACGTTATAGCATCGGTGGTCTCAGCCCTTATTCCGAGTATGAGTTCCATGTCATGGCGGTCAACAACATTGGCCGTGGTCCACCCAGCGACCCAGTTGAGACACGGACGGGTGAGCAAGCACCTTCCTCCCCACCACTGCATGTCCAGGCACGTATGCTGAGTGCCAGCACCATGTTGGTGCAGTGGGAACCGCCGGAGGAACCTAATGGTCAGATTAGAGGCTATCGCATCTACTACACATCTGACCTGGACGCGCCTCTCAGTGCCTGGCAGAAACACAACACGGACGACAGCCGTCTCACCACCATCTCGAACCTGACCCCCGACATCACCTACAGCCTGCGTGTGTTGGGCTTTACATCTGTAGGGGACGGACCCCCATCTGATGTGTTGCAGGTCAAGACACAACAAGGAGGTAATTTTTGGCGTTAATGAATAAATACATTGATGCTTTTACATAGGGCTGGGTAAAAAATATATTTTTTGCTGATCAGTCATGATGTCGCATACAATAATATGTTGCATGATCAGTGTAGTCTAATTCATTAACAAGGGACTCGTATGAACTGGTTCTTTTTAGTGAATCAAAAATATACAGTATAGTGTGACCATTATAGTCTGACTCATGAACAAATAACTCTCAATAATAGGTTATTTTTTGTGAATTCAGTCAAACTACGCAACCACTTCTGGTTATGAAATATATTAACATATTATAGGATAGATGGATTGGGCCCTGTAGTTTTTTTTTTTTCTTTTTTTTTCATATTTTGTACATAAGTTTCTTCATATAATTTACAGCAAAAGCTTGGAGAGAATTTTTTAGAAGCAAAATTGATATTAAAATGTACCCTAATGCATCAGAATCATAATGAAATTGATTTGAATTGAATTGGAATCTAATTGAATCATGAAATGTGTATCAATACCCAACCCTAATTTTGCATAGTGCATTTTCATTTCAGTACCATAAAAATACTTGTGCATCTGTTGTCGCTAACACCTCTTTATCTGTTGAATTTCAAGTACCTGCTCAGCCTTCCAACTTTGAGGCTGAAGCAGAGCTGGATACGCGGATCCAGCTAACTTGGCTGTGGCCAGTTCAGGACCCCATCATCAAATATGAGCTGCTATATTGGGAGGCTGACTCAGAGAACAAGGTATCACGCCAGTGCTTGTTTCTTCCTGATTCATTCAGAATTACAAGCAGACCAGATATTGAACGTGTGCAGCTGTTGCTGTGGGCCATGGATACAAATGAAAGATAGCCGAAATTGACATTTCACAAAATGACTGCAGGCAAAAGTCTGCAGTCAGTTGATAGAATTAGATTGTACAAAAACAGAATGTACTTATCAATGCTCAGTGCTTGACAGCATTTCTACCTGATGCCAGAATGGGCTGTTTGGATGTGTTTTCTTGATGTCAGTTCATCCACATTGAGATCAGATGTCTTATGCACACTCAACGTGATAGCCACCAGTGTGTCTGTATGCTTATAAAGTACTTCTCAGTTTTTTTGTGAAAAACTTCTGTGCCCACCCCATTCATCTTAAAATGAATAATGAGAAAAACTTATGTAGATTTATTCATTTAGCTGATACGTACTGAGAAAAAAATAGCAGCCTACATATTAGCTGTTAAAAGTTTGCTGATAAATAATATTGAAAACTGCATGTTCTGTCAGTTGTCACATTTCTGTTGAATAATGTAAATTCATACTTTGTGAAAACATACTGAAATGTAAGCCATTATTTACTCAAAATCTCTCTCTTCTCATGATCTGGTGCGCACACATAAGTGCAGTGCAGTAGGCATGTTTAACAACATATAAGGAGAACAGAGCGGAGTTCTTGAGTTTATCGTCATTGCGGTAGATTCGAATTTTTAAAGTGATGCTTAGACTTGACAACTACATTTTCCACTGCCCACTTAAAATACAGCTCCATGACCACTGTGTTAAAGTCTTGATGAAACGGAAGTAGCGACAGAACTTTTCTTCTGTATTGTGAAACGGATTGTATCCAATGATTGTTGATTGGATAGAGACCGATCTGAATGCAAGCTTGCAGTCGATTGTAAGAAAGGGTCGGCTTTAAGCTGGCTAAATGATTGGAGAAGCCTGACACATGTCTGATGAAGTCTGTCATTTCACCAGAAGATTGAGTTATGTTAATTAAAAATGACAAGGTCAAAAAAAAGAAAAAAAGGCATATGCATGGATGAATTGTTCACAATAAGGTCAATAACCATTATAAAACAGACAGTGAATTTTCATTTAATTCTGACTTTAAAATAAACATATGGAAGTTCTAAGCGGCCATGCATTATTATAATTTTTTTCTTTCTTGTTAACGAATAACGAATTTTCTCGTGATCACGACTTAATTTTCTCGACATAACAAAAAAGTTGTTTTCTCGTTATCACGACTTAATTTTCTTGTGATTTCGACATAGCAAAAGTGGTTCTTTTAATAATGATTGTTTGATTTTTAAAACACAATGCATGGTGAGTCTACTGTTGCTATAGTAATGAACGTAACCTTGACGGGGACATTCTTAACCTAACTTAATGCGTTAATTGAGAGTGTTTTTGAAAAACCAAAAATGATTAGTAATTAATTCTATGTACAGACATGCAAATGAGCCCATAATAAGAACGCAATGCGTTTAATTCCGCGTGAATCGTTTTCCTCCCATAGAATACCTACTGTACGGACAACACTTAACGTGGCTTAATGTGTTATGGCAGTGTTTTTAAAAGACCAAACTCAGTAAACACATCATTAATAAAGCATTCTCTGTACCGACAAGCAAATGAGCCCATAATAAGAACGCGATGTGTTTAACGCGTTAAGCGTTTTAAAAACCTGTTATAAGACGTTATGTTCGCATCCTGGACTCATCTTCTTGTCTGTTCATAGCCTATTATAATTTACTAATAATGTGTTTAATGAGTTAGGTCTTTTAAAAACACTCTCTAAGCGCATTAAGCAACATTAAGCATTTTACAATGCCCCCTTTGAGGCGCAAATGATCGACAGATAATAGGCCTACTGTATCTTGTATTTCAGCAAATGTTGCTTCACTTAGAAATAATGTGATTTTACGCTACACATTGTATTTGTGTAATTAACATTAAATGGTCTAACAACAAATTGCATTCACCGCAAGCGCAGGCGGAGCGCCTTCAAAAAGAATGCAGAGAAGAAGCCTTTTATTCTAAAAATCTTCAGCTGCTTGGATTCAACTCGCTTTATTTTCCTTGTTCGTTTGAAATAAAATTAAGCTATATATAATAATAAATTAAAATAATTTGTTTGTGATTTTTATTAGTCATGTAGGATAGGCTGTGATGTGAGTTACAAGCTTGAGATGCTGTTATGTGTGTTCAGTTTACAAAGAAATGTAGAAAATATAAAAGATTAGGCCACAACACTGTATAACATCATTGAACTAAATTATACACATGTAAATCACATTTCTTATTAATATACATTTATTAACGATTAAAAATAAGAAAGATGCACATTATACGTCGTTGTAAATGAGTAACTGTGATGAGTCGTGCAGCAGTAATAACATAGGATAACAGATACAATTTCAAGCAAAATTATCATATTTATTCAAGCATTTAACATTTATAAGTTAATTAAATGTCAGCAATGAACTGCACAAATTATAGCGATCAGGAAAAGGGTCCATTGTCCCAATCATGTACAGTATCGTGGATATTGTATACAACTCCCCATCAATAGTTCTATGCTGCCACCTGTTGGTGCAGTTGTGTAACTTAGAGAACAACTTTTATGTCATGTCGAGATCACAAGAAAATTAAGTCGTGATCACGAGAAAACAACTTTTGTTATGTCGAGATCACAAGAAAATTAAGTCGTGATCATGAGAAAACAACTTTTGTTGTGTCGAGATCACGAGAAAAATAAGTCGTGATCATGAGAAAAATAAGTCGTGATCACGAGAAAACAACTGTTATGTCATGTCGAGATCATGACAAAATTTAAGTCATGATCACGAGAAAACAACTTTTTTTATGTCGAGATCACGAGAAAAATAAGTTGTTATCACGAGAAAACAAGAAGAAAAAAAATAATAGTGTATGGCCGCTTAAAACTTCCATATAAACATGTCTACAAGGCCAAGTAAAAAATGGAGAGATGGTTATGGAGTTTTTTATGTTTCCTCTTCAGATCCATGTCACCTTCGACCCTGCGGGCTCATACGCTGTTGAAGGTCTGAAGCCGGACACTCTGTATAAATTCTCCTTGGCGGCCCGCTCTGAAATGGGGCTAGGGGTCTTTACTCAACCCATTGAAGCCAGGACTGCCCAGTCCAGTAAGTGTCCTCTTTTTTTCATCTTCATCATGTCAACTAACCTAGACTTGTCCCTATGGACAAACCAGAGGACCTCTTTTCCCTTCCTTTCTCAAGCTATTGTCTACAGTCTCCACCATTAATTATCTTACACCTCTAAGCCAGGGAATACCTTTATACATTGACAAGGGCAAAAGGTACGTTCGGTGTCTGCTTGTGCCTTTGTCTTCATTATTTTGGTTTATAGGCTATCAATGTGATTTGTTATTGCTGCAATGTTAAAAGCCAGAGAAGTGAAGCCTACTCAAGTTGAAGCACTACATTTGTGCTAAATTTAACACTCTGCTTGCATATAACCTAACCTTTCTCACTTGCACCCAAATATCAAAAGACAATGTTCAGAGAATATATAACAAAATTTACAGTCATGTCGCAGTATCAGAGTACTTCCTTTCCCCCTGAGTCTCTCACAGCCTCATGTTCTCCTAGAGACCTGTCTATCACCTCCTCCGGGACTCAAAAAGACCCTTTGATCTTTGAGTTTTGTGTCAGGACCCCCCCCTTCAGTCTGTCGACATGTTCAGCTACGGCTGCAGTATTTTTGTCACCTACTACTGCAGCATCAGTCGTTTGTAGTGGCTCTCCCACAGTTGTCAGATTAAGGACCGCCTGATGAGAGATGCCTCGTGCTCAATCCCACCGTGGGCGCCAAGAATGGTGCAACGTCACCAAACTGCTCTGGTTGTTAACAAAGGAATGCGAGCATGTTAAAATGTCCCAGTGTACATTCTTCTTCTTGTTCTTATTCCTCGCAGCCATCTTTCTTTTCTTCCTTAGTTAATTTTTTTATTTTTTTATTACACATTTATGTTTATCATATACAGCTGCATGAATGAATGCCATTTAGCTTTTTCATTGTAAAATGTTGTTGTGCTGTTGTCGTAATTTTTTTATGCCTCTGGACTGTGCTGTGTTGTGCAGAAACATTTAATTTGGTAGCTCACCTGATCTCCATCCCTCTCAGAATTAATTAAATATGCCTTGCTGGTGTTGCGCTTATCTCAGCCTCTCAGAAGTGGCACTAAGCCTGCCAAAAGAAGCTAGCCGCACACGCTATCGTAGGCAGGATGGTCGAGTATGCTCTCAGATGCGTCAGCTGCCACACTCACTGACACTTGGATCTCTGACAAACGAGGGGCTGTTGTCTCCCAGCCAGTAGACTGACTGAGAATGTGTGAACGCTTGTTAAAACACAAGCCGATGGCCTTTCCCCTGCTTGTCAACACATAAACAGAGAAAGGCAGTAAACGGCGGTGACTTACTGATCGCTGTGACCAGGGTGAGAAATTGACACACACCACCAGCCAAATGAGGATATTTTTAGGCAGTGGCAGGTCATTTTAGACAGTCTTAGATTGTATGGTAACAACAACACACACATAGCTGTTAAAAACATTACCATTTAAAAGCTTGGAGTTGGTATGTTTTTTGTTTTATTTTGTTTTGTTTTTGGAATAAGTCTCTTATGTTCACCAAGGCTGCGTCTATTTGATCAAAAATACAGTGAAAACAGTGAAATATTATTACAATTTAAAATACATTTTTAAATATATTAGATATTATATTAGAGATTATATATTTTCCGTAGTTATTTTCAGCAGCCATTACTCCAGTGTCACATGATCCTTCAGAAATAATTCTAATATGCTGATTTGGTGCTCAAGAAATATTTGTTATTATTACCAATGTAAAAAAAAAAAAAACCTTGCTGCTTAATATTTTTGTGGAAACCTGTGGATTTTTTCCCTGAATTCCTTCTTCAAAAGAACAACATTTGTTTATTAAACATGTTTTGTAATAATATAAAAGTCTTCACTGTCACTTTGATCAGTACATTTCTTAAAAAAACAATAAAATTGACTGTCCTCAAAGTTTGTGGTAGTGTATATACAGTGCTGCTTGAAAGTTTGTGAACCCTTTAGAATTGTCTATATTTCTGCATAAATATGACCCAAAACATAATTAGATTTTCACACAAATCCTGAAAGTAGACGGAGAATCAAATCAAACAAAGGAGACAAAAATATATACTTTGTCATTTATTTATTGAGAAAAATGATCTGGTGTTAAATATTTGTGAGTGGCAAAATATGTGAATCTTTGCTTTCAGTATCTGGTGTGACCACCTTTTGCAGCAATAACTGCAAGTAACGTTGGTAACTGCTGATCAGTCCTGCACAACGGCTTGTAGGAATTTTAGCCCATTCGTCAGTACAGAACCACTTCAACTCTGTGATGTTGGTGGGTTTCCTCCTATGAACTGCTTGCTTCAGGTCCTTCCACAAAATTTCAATTGGATTAAGGTCCAGAATTTGACTTGGCCATTCCAAAACATTAACTTTGTTCTTCTTTAACCATTCTTTGGTAGAACGACTTGTGTGCTTGGGGTCGTTGTCTTGCTCCATGACCCACTTTCTCTTGAGATTCAGTTCTCGGACAGATGTCCTGATATTTTATTCAGGATTTGCTGGTATAATTCATTCAGAATTCATTGTTCCATAAATGATGGCAAGCCGTCCTGATGCAGCAAAACAGGCCCAAACCATGATACTACCACCACCATGTTTCACAGATGGGATAAGGTTCTTATGCTGGAATGCAGTGTTTTCTTTCTCCAAACATAACGCTGCTCATTTAAAGGGGTCATAGGATGCCCATTTTCCACAAGTTGATATGATTCTTTAGGATCTTAATGAAAAGTCTGTAACATAGTTTGGTTAAAATTTCTCAATGGTAGTGTAAAAAAGTTTTTACCCTGCCAAAAACAGCTCTTTTCGGATCAGATTTGTAGCATTTTCCTTTAAATGTTAATGAGCTCTGCTGACCCCGCCCCTCTCTTCCGAGTTTACTTTAGCCGTATTCATCGTGAAACTTGCTAATTAGCACATTATTAGGAAAGGTGATTTGCAAAGATTCATTACAAAACATTCTCACTTCTTCTGTAGATGAGGCTGGATCATGAATGATTTGCGCGAACATAGACGCGTTTATGTAGATCAGGGACACACATTCTCTTCAGAAACAATGTAATCCACTGCGAGTTCAGCGGCTCAGATGTCGGGAGTAAATGACGACTAGGGCTGTGTATCACCAGCAAAGTCACGATACGATACGTATCACGATACATAGGCCACGATACGTATCACGATACGGGACTGCACTGAATTTCACCTAAGCAGAATTGAGTAAAACAGCTGTTTATTAAACACTGCATACTATAGTGCCATTTCTAACTATTGGCAGAGCAGGCAGCTGTCCTCTGCATTATGAAGGGCCTCCATAACTGTACAAGATATACAGTACAATATAAATTGAACTGTACCATTCAATTTATATTGTAATGTACTCATTCTAATATATTTAAAAAATCATTTACATTGCTGGAAGGTTATCATTGCACAAATTAACACCCTCTCTACAATTAAAAAAAAAAATTGGAAGAGTTCTAAACTAAGGCACTGTCTTCACTGTATCTAACGCACACACGCTCAAGGCTGATTTATACTCGATGCGTCCACAAGTTCGCTTAGGTGCGCGCGGCAAATATGACGTCATCGCGGTGTTGGCGGAAGTTCGCTTTGAGTGCACGCGGTGTGGCTTCACGTGGCGGTGTGCACGACATTTTTTGTAACTTTCCGCGCAGCTCCGCTTCCGAAGATGCACGAGTTCAAATTGACTCTAGCCGAACATGCACGTCTGTGCCAGCATTTGTGTGAAACAGAAGCAGTTTGATGTTAAGTTCAGTCACACACACAGATCAAGTTGCAGTTGCGCTCAGACATTCAGGAACAAACTTTTTAGCGCTGGCCCGCAGTTTTATCAACTAAATAGCTTAATCGCTCAAGAGCTACATTATCTTTCTCAACAAGGAGCTGGTAACATCATTGTTTCTAAGGGAATTAAAGCCACAGCTTTACTGTTAATAGAGAAACGCGGCAAAACGGTGGTAATTCATAAATTCATACACCCTCTCTCTCTCTCTCTCTCTGTGTTGTAAATGAACAGCTGATGAATTACACTTTTCTGAGAATAGAATAATAGAATAGAGATCGCTAAACTGCAAGCAAACCGGTGTTTTCAGAAAGCAAGTGCGTTTATCCACAGTGGAGAGAGAGCGCGCGTGCACAGGGTTGCCAGGTTGACAAAGATAA